ACACACAACCTCAAACTAGGAGCAGTGGTGTTCGCCTTGAAGATCTAGAGACACTACCTTTTCAGCACAAAGTGCACCATCTTCACAGATCATAAGAGCCTTCAACACATTGTAAATAAAAACGAGCTCAACATGAGATAACAACATTGGGTAGAACTGCTAAATGACTACAAATGGAAAATTCGTTATCATCCGGGCATGCCCAAAGTAGTAGTAGATACCCTAAGTCGGAAAGAATACTTGGGTCGCCGAGTAAAATCATTGACCATGACCATTCATTCATACCTGTCCATACATATCAATGAGGTGCACATAGTAGCCTTGAAACCCGAGAACATCGCAAGTGAGGCTTTGCGGAGAATGGATAAAACCTCGAAGTCAAAGGTGATAGAGCTTGTTACTTCACAGATCGAATCTGGACACCAAGATTCGGCGTGTACAGAGACATGGTCATGAACAAGGCCCACAAAACCAAATAATCTGTTTATCACTGTTGAGACAAGGTGTATCTGGACCTTAAGACACTTTATTTGTGGCCAAACATTAAGGTAGAAATCACTACCTATGTTAGCAAGTGCCTGACTTGTGCCAAGGTCAATGTGGAATACTAAAAGCCCTCAGGTTTTCTCCAAAAACTGGACATAACCGAGTGGAAGTAGGAGTGGATAACCATGTACATCGTAACCAAGCTGCCCAAGACAACAGGTGGACTTGACACCATTTGGGTGATCGTTGACAAGTTAACCAAATCCGCTCACTTCTAACCAATAAAAGAGACCAACAAGATGGAGAAGCTAACAAGGATGTACGTTAAAGTAATTGTACGACCACATGAGGTTCTAATATCCATCATCTCCGACAAAGATAGTAGGTTTACCTCATAGTTTTAGCAATCCCTACAAAAGTCATTGGAGACCAAACTCGACATAAGTACAACTTATCACCCTTAAACTGACTGGAAAAGAGAGAGAGAACCATCCATACACTGGACGACATGTTAAGAGAAAGTATGATAGACTTTGGTAAATCGTGGGATACCCAATTACCAGTCATTGAATTCTCCTAAAATAACAATTATCACACAATAATAAAATTCACGCCATTCGAAGCTCTTTATGGCCGCAAGTGTAGATCACCTCTATGATGGGCTGAAGAGGGTGACACGTAGCTAGCAAGAGGACAAGTGCCTAACGGCGCTCTCACTAGCCCAGAGATTATACAGGAAACCATGGAGAAGATCGTTCAAATCCATGCACAATTAAAAGTCTCTCAGCATTGGCAAAAGAGTTATGTAGATAAGTGGCGAAAACCCTTTTAGTTCCAGGTTGGTGACCGTGTACAGTTGAAGGTCTCACTTGGAAGGGAGTAATACGATTTGGAAATTATGGGAAGTTGAATCCAAGGTATATCAGGCCTTTCGAGATCCTTGCTAGAATCGACCCAGTGGCTTACAAACTTCGACTAACACAGGAACTCAGTAACGTACACCTCACCTTCCACCTATCCAACCTGAAGAAGTTCCTATCCGATGAGACTCTTGTAGTCCTACTCAATGAAATCGAGGTAAATGAGAGTTTACACTTCATAGAGGAACCTGTGGAAATCATGGATACGGAGGTCAAAAGGACAAAATAAAGTTGAATACCCATAGTGAAGGTATGTTGGACTGCCAAGCAAGGGCCTAAATTTACCTGGGAATGAGAAGATCAAATGAAACAAAAGTACCCACTATAGAACTATTTTCGGGATGAAAATCCCCCTAACGGGGCGATGATGTGACAAATTCCAATTTTGGATCCAACAGAACTCAAACGAACCAAAAAGAGTCAAGTAAAGTCAACAAGTCAATGACCTAAGACTCAAAACATTTGGGATTTTGGTTAGTGCATGGACTGAAATCACCATGGGATTTCGGTTGGCACAAGAGCCAAAATCACCATGTGATCTCGGTTGGCACATGGACCGAAATCACAAGGTGATCTCGGTTGGTGCTTGGCCAAAATCACATGTGATTTCGGTAGTTTTTGGATGGATTTCGTTAGGAATGAAGATAAGGAAGGGTTGACTTTGTGACTTGATGTTTCATCCTTTCGACCACAAAGTTTTACCCAACATGTATCGAAGCATTTATCTAGCAAATAACAATGCAAATGTCACCTTACTTTTCCCTCTTTAACTATGGCCGAGAACACCACACAAACCCCCACCATTTCCATATTCTTTTCTGTTTACTCCATACTCTCTCAAGAATCAAGTGCAAATCTTCCAAGGGTTAATTCTCCAAGTTTATTCTTCGAGTTTTGGTAGGTTTTCTTGTTAATATAGTCTTCTTACACACTTTCATGTTAGTTTCATCTTATCTACACACATTATCATGAGTTAAAACTCTTAGGATAATATCATCTTCAAAGAGTTCATCAACCACAATCAAGTGTTTTAGGCTTGGAGATCTTCACAATCATCTCGTTATTCAACCACAAGTAAAGTTTGGTTTATCACACAAATACTTGCATGTTTCATCTCTATGTTAAATATAATACATTATTTGCATGAAATATCATTATCACTAGTTTGTACACAATTATTTGTGATATATTAGTTTTGAAATGCAAAACTAACAAAACCAAACATAAACTATGTAATATAATCATAAGAAAAATTAAGATTTCAAAACTATTCTTACTTGAGGATAAATAATGTTTAAGATTAGGGTGATTTCATAGTTTGTTTATTTCTTTCTTTTTTAGAGTTTATATTAACATTTTTTGACCTTTTAATTATTAATGTATTTCGTATTGTATCTCATTCTTTACCTTGGATCGTATCAGGTACTTTCTATTTTTCATGAGGTGTTTTGTAGGTTTTTGGAGTCTCAATGTGGTTGTGGTTTAGCTTGGAGATGGGCTTGGTGGACTTGCGGAGAGTTATTGGGATTTACGATCAAAGATGAATTGGGGTTGAAGTGTTGAAGACTTGGATGAAGTGAGCTTATGAAGATGGGTCATGGACTCGTGTTTTTGGGTTTGGACTATCCATTTTCAAGCTTGAAGATGATTAGCCAAATTTTAATCATATGAGGTATGAACTGGAAAAAAAGAATCTTTAGTATTAAGGTGGAGTAATAGAGGAAAATAACCAATAATGTCTCAGCACCATTTGTGAGGATGGGGTCTCACCTACGCAAGTTAGCAAGGGTGAAGAATCGTTAATCAAATAAATGCGAATCAAATCAGAGTGAAAATGATATGAAGGAACACAAGATGTAAATATGATCTTGTTTCAGTTCTATTATACTTTCAGAATTTTATAGAGAGTACTAAGACAAGTTCTGTAGACTTCTTATCTAACTCTAAGTAAAGTTCCTATTTATAGGGAACATGAAAGAATACAAAAAATACTAAGACATTACATTTAAGCTTCGAACATACAGACGTCTTAGTAAATACAATACAAGTACATGAAGGGTATGGTCTTCGACTCATTACAAAATGTCTTCGACCCTAACAATCCCCCCCTTTGGAATGAAGTCGAATTTTCATGTTGTGAGAATTTGAATGACATAAATCATCACCCTTCGAACTTCTGTGTACCAGGACATAATCTTCTTCAACTCCTGCTTATCGCCTTCATTGTTTTTTTTTATAATTATTCATACGAACAATAAAGTTCGTATATTGAGACATTGTATATCTTTCAACTTCAGCGATTTGGAACAAAAATCTCATTGACTTTCCAGCTTTATCTTCACCAGCAAAAACCAAACCAAAAGGCTTCAAACATATTTCCCCATCAGCATATTTCTTCAATTTTTGTTTAGGCTTGGATGGCTACATGGGTACTTTGACTTCATGTCCTTTCACTGTTTCTAGCTCCACATCTGCAAGTGCTAAACACTCGTAATAATTCTCCAAGAAAATTTTGATGTGAGCCACTCCCAGTCGAAAAACATCAGGTTCTGTTTCTCGAAGATATAAAGAATTTTTATCTATCAAGAGAAGAGCCATTTAAAAAAGGTCATACAGATTCATGAGAAAAAAATCTACGACTGTGAAATCACAAGTCTGACCATTTGCTCTTGAAACAATGAACCTTACATTCAGCATCATATCTTCAAATAATATGTCCATCTTGATGCGTATAACCTTCTTGAGTTTTATCAGTGACCAAATTTCTTTAGGAGCCTTCGTAAGAACTTCATGAAAATGAAGCTTCATGTAGTTAGACTCATCTTCGCTCTTGAATTTATCAGATATTTTGAATTGAGGTATGAGGAACATCATCTCATTAATTGGAAAATCCAACTGGCTCATGTCTACATTCGAAACCATGTAACTCTGTTTTCGTTTCTTCTCAAATGCATACATGTGGTTGTAAGCCACCTTTGCTTCTATCATTTCGTATTTATAAAGTTTGGCAGAATCTCCTTTGTTCAAACCTAGAGGATCACTCGCCCTTTGCCTCATTATACTCTAAACTAGCCTTAGCTTTTCCATCTCTGCTTCGACTTCTTCTTTCTTCTCTTCTTTTGATTTTTGAACAACAATTGTCTTGCCTTTGTCTATTGATTTATCTGTAGCATCCTTTGTTTTCGAAGCTTCACCTTGGCCACTAGATGATCCAATAACAATCCCCTTCGTAATCGACTTTGTGATCGACATGGACGTTACAACAGTTGAAGTAACTGGTCCAACACTCGAAATTGTAGGCTTAGTCGATTGAATTTTTGAAGGATAAACTTTACCGACAACCTTAGCTTCTCCCTGTGAAGCATCACCTCCAGCCTTCGCATGATATCCTTCTCTAACTCTCTTTTCTCCCCCTTGCATCCCTTTTTGAACAGGTGGGGCACCAGTTGGAAGAAGATTCGAAATAGTAGACAGATGAGCTAGTTGTTTATGAATAATGGCTTCAAACTATGTAAACTTTTGTGAGAGGAACTTAGGAGTAATTATCGAAGATGTAGCAAGCTTTAACACTAACTCCTTTAGATCTTTGAGCATCTAAATAACCTCCCCCAGCTGTTGATTGTCAGATGTAGAAAGTTGAGTAATTTGAGGACTCAAGCTTTTGTACAACATAACATATTTCGTGACAGCATCACAAATAATATCAACTTTATTATGCAGAGTGGCATAATCATTCTGAAAAACTGTAAGTTCACGAACCATGTCATCACAAAGCTCTTGAAGATTCAAATTTACATCTTCTCTCAATTTCTTCACATCCATTACGAACAAAGTATGTCTTTCTTTTTGAACATTTGTTAGCTCTTTCACAGCCCCCACATACTTCGAATTAAAAGAATTTATTCTTAACTCAGTAGTTTGATCATTTTGATCAACCTTCTCTAAGATTCTAGACTTGGTATCTCTAAGCATACCAGACATCCTGCTCACCATTCATGCCTCACAAGCCTTCATCAGTCCATTAATTTCGAAATTTGACATTAAACTTCCTCCCCCATGTCTGCTTGGAGACTAACTAATTGAATTCATCTTTTTATTAAGTATTTTGAATTGTTTCATAGACATGAACATATGGTCAGGGAAATCCTCCTATTCTTCATCAAAAGCCATATGTTCAAAAGTACCGCCAAATCGACCTTCTTCAGTATCAGATTCATCATTCGGTTTTGGGTGGATCAGTGTATTGAGATGAAAAAATGGATTTAAAGGGTTGGTCGATGATGTTTTGGAAGGTTGGTGAATTAGTGGCGGAAGTAGTAGGAATAATAAATGGAGGTAAAGAAACAAAGGTACTTGTAACAGGTTCGACAGAAACAATAATTGGAGTACCTTGTGGAGGTTGAGTAATTTCCTTCGTTAGATCTCCTTCACCCATGATGACATTTACAACCGTATCAGATATGTTTGCAGTGATGTCTCAAGTCCATACCTCCTCATGAGATGATTTAGTAGACAAAACTTCGGGTGGTATGATAATAGTCATCTCAGGAGAAGTACGCTCTAAAATAGGTTCAGGTTCGGGTGTTTCAGGCGCTTCTTCTTCTTCATATGATTCCGTTGGAATTACTAACTGCCTCTTCTTTGTCTTCTTCTTTTTCTTCGAAATCTTCTTGGCCATATCCTCAGCCCTTAATTTCTTTGAGTGAGGAGAAATTAGAGCTAGGACTTCGTGCATAACTACCCCTTGATGAGTAATATGAGGCTTCCGAATCACATTCGAAGTAGGAGAACTACCATACTTCAACTTTAATTTGCGAAAAACTCTAGTCTTCGAAGGAATGGTAACTAAAGTTGGTTCTGTAACAACAGTTTCAATAGGTTTTAGCACACCTTTCAAAACTAACTCATCGGCCTTCATCTTTGGAGACTTTGATGTCTTTGTTTCTTTAACAGTTGGCTCAGGAATGATTATCGCAGTCTTCTTTGTAGTCCTTGATTTCTTTGAAGGACTCGCACCTTCTTTCATTAACAACTTTCCAGTTTCAACTTTAGGATCAATTGTTGTCACATATTCAATAAGTACATCATTTGTTGGATCAACTTTCTTCAACATGGCATATGGGATTCATGCAACATGTGAAAAGACTTCTTTATCATCATTCACTTCTTTTGGAAAATTATACTTCAAAAAATCTATTGTTTCCTCCTCAGCATCCACTAGAATTCCCTCTTTATCATAGAAATATCTGAGGATAAGATCCAATATCGTGCACATGAAATATCTTGCACAAGATTCGTATTATCTACACTCTTTTGAAATTCTTTCCATAGTTGTGTAGAGTAGTCTACCGCTATATCATAATAGATGCCTGCAACCATTGCATAGACTTCCATGTGTCCTTTATCAAGCCCAACACTTCGACCTGTTAAGCATCATAAAAAGATTCCCAACAAGAAATTCTAGATTTTCGAAAGACCAGATTTTTTAAAATCACTAATCTTTGTGAGTGGAGGTTGATGACCCATCTCTTTGATCATGTAGCTCACTTGATCAGTTGAAAGAGCAGTAAACGGTTGATAGTTTGGAATATCCAAAATTTGACAAAACAACTTCTTTTTCAATCGTACCTTTTTATCATTCCCGAAGTTTAATGTGATGACATCTAGGGCTTTAGAATATGTTGCAGTAGAACCTGCTTGTGAAAGCCAAGATAGATGTACTGCAAAAGAATTAAACATACATGTCGAAAGAACACAACTCTTCAAAGCAACCACCAACATATTCAATCCTTTAAGGTAAAGAGATTCATCTTCTTTTACTTGATAGTTTGTCCCTTGAATCTTCAGTATCGGTTGCGAAGTAACATCTTCAGTGGTTTGTGATGGTTCATCAACATTAGTTTGATCAGCCATGACTAAGGTTGTAAAATCATATGAAGAACAATTGGATTTTGCAGAGAGAATTTGGGAATTTTTCTTCTGAAAACGTAAACTGATAACAAACCCTTGATTTCCTTTTTCTAGGTAACCCTGATATTTGAATTTGAAGCGGGATGTGCATTTTATGAAATCCGATGTGGCACCTTGAAACTCGCACCACTATTCTGATAAAGTAGCCACGCGTGAAAAAGTAACTATCACTTTTCATTGAAAATCGGATAGAATACAAAATGTCACTTCTCACAGCTTGTTTATTTCCTCCAATGTAATATGAACCGTCAGCAACCTTCGGATGGAGGTTAGGCTCTTTAACTTTTGGGATTTAAAGCGAAGTCATGTGCCAGACTTTCGAAATCATCAACCTAAGTTGGTACTACTCAGAACCTCAAGGATTTCGTGAGTGCAGTATGCCAAAGAGAAAGATAACAATCAAATAAAGAAAATCTTTGGATTTGTGATGTCAAAATTATTTCGACATGAAAGCAGTTAAACCTCGGCAAAGGTTACTTCATTAATTATCACGAGAGATAATCTACTGCTTATCTTTGTTAATTATGCGACCTTTTCCTTCAAGCCAATGATCAATATTTTTCGATTGAGATATCCCTTTTGTGTACGAAACTTTCGAAGTTTGTTTCACCGAAGGATTTGGAAACTTCAAATTTTGTGGAACAAAATCAACATTTGAATTTGGATGAAATTTCTGAGCATAACTTCCATCAAATTTGGTTGTGACAGTTATTTTCGGAATATCTCTTTGTTAAAAAAATTTCTTTTGATTTGAAAAACGATTTTCAACATTTTGATTTTGAAATTTCTTTGAAAAATGATGAGCCTTTGTTAAAAATGATATTTTCGGATCTTTTGAAACCTTGTGTTGAGTGAAAATTTTCCTTTTGTCTGAATAAGATGAAAACATAGTCTTATTTTTAACAAATTGATTTATTGTTATTCTAGATGTTTTCATTTTCAAATCATTTTGTGTCTTTCGTGACTCAATGGTTTGTCAAAAAAAAATCTTTCTTGCTTTTCCTTTTTGAAATGTTATTATCTTTCGAAAAATTGTCAATTTGTTCTTTGAATTCTTTTGAATTTAATTTGACAAAATTTTCATTTTCCTCAACTTTTTGTTTTAAAACCTCGTTCACAAGTTGTGATTTCTCAACCCATTTTCGTTGAGGTTTTTGTTTTTGGAAAACATACGAGTTCTTTGTTAGATTATTTTCGACAGTGCTTTGGTTGGAAAAGAATCCTTCATCAGTTGTTTTCTTGTTGTCTTCTTCAGTTAATTTCTTGAACTCAGGATTGTCAATCTCAACTTCCGAATCCTTAACAATTTCTTTTCCTTTAGATTTTAATGCGATATTAATGACAGATAACTGTGAACAATCAACATCCTCAAATTCACTGAATTCACTAATATTATCATAATCATCTTCAATATCAGCAAAATTAGTTTGTAAGTCAGATGTCGAATTCTCATTCTTTTTCAAAATTTTAAATTGTTCCAATTTGGTCAATGTTTCGTTAACAAAATCAACTAACTCATTCGAATCAAGACATTCATCAATTTTTACTATGCCATATGCATACCTATCATCTGAAATTTTGTTAAATTCAGCAATTGTTTTCTCACAATCATAAGAAATGTTATCAACCTTCTCTCTCTCAAAAGATAGAAAAGGTAATAACTTTCTAGGTTGTTCTTTGCTAATGTCACTAGAATGACGCAAAATTGTAAGTTTTCCATAGAGTCTTTTTGCAGAATTACAATATATATTTTGTTGTGCTAATAAGAGTTTTACATCGCTCGAAAGAGAGTCTCTATCACACATGATGTTTGTGATTTGTAATTCTAAGCATTCTATCTTAGTTATTTTTGAATCAAGCTTCTTTTGTGCCTCTAACAATTGTAAGCTCAGTTTCCTAGCTTCGTTACTAGCAGACACAACAATTGAATCGAAATAAACAACAATGTCATCCAAAGCAACAATTTTAGACTTATATGCATTTAAAGGAATATTGAAAGATTCGAGAATAGAACGTACCTTTGTAGTCATCAGAGACTTGTCAGCTGATTTGGATACGAAGCATCTTCATGTGACCTCTTCATTAAAATCATCTTCAAATTTCACATACAGAGCACCATGCATCGGATTACGCATTTCATCATCATCTGATCTTGAAAACCAGATTTGATACACACTTTCTTTCTCCTGTTCTCTTTTGGCATTTTTCTTTCGCTTTAACTTCCTCCAGCTTCTCCGAATAATATGCCTCATCCTTCACCTTGTTCTTCTTCTCCTCTTTCTTATGAAGTATACAATCATTCACAAGATGATTGGCCCTATTACAATAGTGACAATATATTCCAGAATCTCCTTTCAATTTCTTCTCTCTCTCTTCTCCTCAACAACTTTCACTTCCTTCTTTTCTATCTTCTTCTTCTCCTCACCACCAACCTTAGTCAGAAAATTTCCTCTTCCTTAACTCTTCCTTGTCTTCGAATTAAATGGTTTATTAAAGAACTTTTTGACTTTGTGGTTAGAGTATAATGCAATTGCTTCATCATCCAAATTCATGAAAGTCCTTCTTCAGCATCTGAATAATCACTTTCAACAGTTTCTTTTTCGGTAACTTTCGAGACAAATGCCAAAGGACCACCTATAGTAAGCTTCGACTCCTCAACCATCTCATTGACCTCACTTTCATGAGTTTTGAGTTGATTATACAAATCATTCAATGAAGATGTGTCGAAACTTTGCTGATTTTACCCATCATACTCATTCCTCTCCACTCTTTTCGAAGTCCCATCACAAACATAAGATTGAATTCCATTGCAGAACAAGTGATACCATATCGATTGCATCGATATATCAGCTCGTTGAAGTGATCATAGTAGACCTCGATTGTCTCATTCTCCTTATATCGAAATTCCTTCGGCTCCACCAACCACTGCTTCACTGAGTTAATTTTCATCTTTTTGCTTCCTTGATACTTTTCCTTAAGAGTGTTCCATATCTGCTTCGCACTTTTACAACCACGAACATAGT